TTAATTTATACTAAATATTTAGACTTTTAATTATAAATAAGTATTTAAAATTATAAAAGTTAGAATTTTAAAAGTTAAGTTAGTACTTCTAACTTTACTAATTTTAGCTATATAGCTCAGCTTTAAAAAGAGGTTCTTATTATATTTATTAAAAAGATTTTTAATATCTTTTTATTATTATCCGTTTTTTATTAAGTTAGCTAAGGATTTTAGAGCTTTTAATAAGATTTCGTTAGTATTAAAATATTTTTAATTACGTATTAAAATTATTATTACTACGGTATATTTTAATATAATTTTTTATAAAAAGTTTATAAAAAGCGAGATCGGAGCTTTAAGCTTTTTTTTTATTAGTTTTTTAGCTTTTATTTTAAGGTTAAAGTTATAGGGCTAATTTATAATTATTATTTTTTAGGTTTTATAAAAAAGAGGTTTTTAAGTTCCCTAAGTACTAATATTAAAAATACTAATTAAAATTTTAATAAGCTAGGGCCTAGAAATAGATCTAAAAATTACGTTTTTTATTATTTTAAAAACCTCGTTATTATTATTAATTTTTATAATTTTTCTTTTTTAATTAAAAAAGGAAACTGTTTTTTTTTAAGTTATAAAAACTAGTTTAGGCTATTAATCCTATATATTTTTTTAAAATAAGGTTTAGTTACTAAAGTACGGTTTTTAAAAGGTTTTTTTTTATAAATAGTATAAACGTCCGCTTAGTTATAGTAATTTAGATTAGGTCGTATTATATAAACGTATTTAATTATACTTATAAAATTAGCTAAAAGGAGTATAAGTATAGTTTATTAAAGTAGTCCGATTTAATAATTTAGAATTTACTTAGCTAAGAGCTTAGTATCTTTTTTAGTTAATATATTTATTACGTAAAAAAGGAGAGTAATACGATTAATAATCGTACGCTTTTTTTTATTTTTAATTATAATAAAGGGGATATTATTTATAAACTTATAACTATTATACTTTTCGTAGTACTAAGCTCCCTAAGCTAAAATAATAAAATAGGCGTTTTTATTAAAAGTATATTAATCGTAATCCCTAATAATCTAGTAATATTAATAACGATCTTTAAGTTTTATAATTAGGGGCTAATTAAAATATATAGTATTTATATTAAATATATAAATAGGGCCTCGAGAATAAATACTATTTTAATAAATTTTTAGTTTACTTATTTTATTAGTTAAGTTAGAATTAGTAATATTATTAATAGCTATTTAGGTAACCTAAACTTTTATTATTAATTAGTAATATTATTAGTAATTTAGATATTAATATTAAGTATTTTTATATACTTAAAGAGTAGGGGGCCGTAGTATGGACTCGGGTTAATTTTAGTTATTTATAAAAAATAAGTTATACTCTTTTTTATACATAATTATATTAAAAAGTCCTATTTTAAACTTTGCGTACTTTATTAATTTAATAAAGCTATTTAAAATAACCCCGACTTTTTTTATTACTTTTTTTATAATATTAATATAAAACTACTTATATATAGCCTTAATTAAGCTCTTATTAATTATAATATAGAGGTCTTATTATTTAATAAGGGTAATTATATTATTAATTTTAATAAATAGTACTTAAACGGAGTTTAGATTAGAAAATAAAATAAGTAGCCCCTTAATAACTTTTTTAATTTATTCTTTTTTATTTAAAAAGTAGTTAGTATCCTATTTCCCGTATTTTTTTAAAATAAAATCCTTAGTTTAAGCCTAGGGTAATCCTCTAATCGCGTCCTTAACTAGAGTTTAATAATCTCTTTTTATAATATACGTAATAAGTTTATTTTTAAATCGGTCCGGGACCTTACTAATCTCGTATTAATTTTTAAACTTTTTTAAAAAATTTACGATATTATTATTTTTAAAAACTATAGTCCTTTTTTAACTAAGGAATAGTATTTTATAAAAACTTATATTTTTTATTAAATTAAGCTAAGGAATTATAGAGCCCTTAGTTTAAAGTATGGTTATTTAGATTTAAGTAATAATAGTATTTAAAAAAATATTAATCGAAGTATTTATTTTAATTTAAGCTATAACTAGCTTTTTTTAATTAAATTAATAAGTAGATTTATTAAAAAAAGTAGCCTTTTTATTATTTAACGATTTTGCGGCTTATAAGTTTTAATAAACTATAAAAGCTAGTTTAGTAAATAGTTTATTTAAAATAAAAGGGTTAGGTTCGTATAATTAAACGTTCTAAAGGGTACTAATAATAGTAAAAATAATATATTAATTATTTATATTTATAATCCGAGGTTATTAAAAATATAGTTCGTTAATTTTATTTATAATTTTAATAGTTTTATATTAGTCTATTTATTCTAAGTAGAGTTTAAAAAGGGAGGAGAGGAGCCGTTTTAATAATTAGAACGTAGCCGTTATTTTAATTAATATAATTTAGACCGTTTTTTTTAATCCTTATTAAGTATATAATTAAAATTTTAATTAAACGTTATATTAAGCTTATAATAATATTAATCGAAATTATTAATAGGTTTAATTAAAAGCTAGTTTTATAAGTACCCTTAGTTTAATATATTTATATTTTTAAATATGTTTATTATTAAGTTTTTAAACTATATTAATTAATAAAGAATAGTTTAGTTAAATAATTAGTTATACTTGTTAAAGCGTTTTATCTATTTTAATTTTAACTCGTTATTCGTTTTATTATATTATTATAGCGTTTTATATTTAGGCCCGATCTAGTCCTAAGTATCTACGTTCTTTTTTATTTTTTATTTTATTTATTTTTTAGGGTTTATTATATTCCCCGTTTTATTAAATAGGAAGTCTTTTTTTATATATTTTTACCGTTACGTTTTAATTATTTAGTTACTTTTTTTAAATTAGAGTTTTATTACCTATATTTATTTTAATTATTATACCGTTTTTTTTAATTAATTATTTAAAGTATTTTTAATTAAATTAGGTTTTTTTTTACTTATTTTTTTATTTAATAAGGAAGGGATTTTTAAAAAGGGAGATTATTAAAAATATATAGGGTATAGAGGACTCTTATAGTATAGTATTTTAAAAAAACTATTAATATTTATAAAAGTAATATAAAATACCTTTTTTAATTAGGTTAATATAGCTTTAATTAACGGAGTTATAACTAAGGGAAGAGGATAGTATTAGCTAGATTAGAAAGGTAGATTTTTTAATTATTTTGTATTATTATATTTAAAAATAAATTATTAAAAAGGCTCTAATTCGATTTTAAAAAGGTATATATATAATTAAAATGAAAATCCGCACTATTTAACTCCTTATTTTTAATTAGGGCCTTTTTTTTTATATTTTGCTCCGATTAGCCCTTTTATAAATACCTATACTTAATTAGCTTTAAAAAAAACTACTAGGACTAATCGCCCCACCCCATTTTACTATTTAGATAGTAGTTTATATATTAATAAGTTTATTTAGTAGATTTATTTAGTAAATTTATTTAGTTTAAATAGAGCTTTAAGTAATATTAAAAGCGATAAAGATAAAAAGAATTTTTATAAGCTTTAAAAAGTAATAAATATTAGCCTATTTAGCCCTTTTTTTAGAAACCTCTACGTTGCTATTAAAATTTAGAACCTCTATAGTTAAGGGCCGCTTTTAATTATTATAGCCGACTATTATAGCTAATTATTACGGCCGACCTCTATTATTAACCTTTTTAATTAGCGCTATTACTAAAAAAAATAGCTTACTTATTCCGAATTATATAGTAGTTTTTATATTAAAATTATTATATTACATTAAGCGCGTACTTAGGATATATTATACGTATTATATAATTAAAAAGTATATTATATTATATAATTTTTTTTAAAAGCGTAATCCTATTAAGGTCGATCTTTTATACTTATAAAACTAGAAAAAAACTACTATATATAAATCCTCTTTATAAGTACGGTATAAAAATAAATTTATTTATATAAAGTAAATAATATAACTAGTTTTATAAAAAGAAACCTAGCTTAGTCCTATAAGTTACTTATATTTAAAAAAGTTAAAGGGGTTATATTAAGAATTATATTTAAAAGTTATTAATAGAGGATTTCTTAGTTTTTTTAGTTATTTTTAAACGTTTTATAATATATTTAATAAGCTCGTAGTTCTTTTTTATTATAAGTTATAATTAATTATCCGAATTTAAAGAGTAAAATAAGTATTATAAAAGGGTTAAAGAGTACGTTAGAATTTAAAGTATTTAGGTCGACGTATTTCTAAACCCCGATGCCCTTATTTATAATATAAAATACGTTAAACTATTTGATTTAACTATTTTAATTAGTTAATTTAGCTTAGGCTAAAATAAATATAAATATATTTATTATTTTAAAAAAATTATAAAAATCGTATTAATAAGTACGTTATTATAATATAAGGTTTTAATTACGAGCTAAGCTTATAATTATTATAAGTTATAATACGTAGTAATAAGTATATAGAGTATAATAAAAGTAGTTTAATATATTAAAATAAAAATAGATAAAAAGAAAAGGTTTATATATATAATATCTAAGATAGATATATAATTTAGTACGTAATGGGTACTTCGTGAGATGCGGTTATTATCCCTGTTACGTGATAGAAAGGCACTCGGTTAGTGGGAATTGAAAATAATTGAACTAATCAATGAGCCTCTTCGTCGGGATGCTGCTCCCTGCATGTCAGCATGCCGTTCTAGCAGCAGTTGTACGAGAAAATATGAGCCAATCGCTTTCATTTCTAGGTAGGCGCGAAAGGAACGCTTAAACAACACGACTGGGCATTTCTCGAGGCAGACTTTTGGTCGGCAATTCTTTTCTGGCCAATAGGAGGTTTAAAGAAGTCAAGGGTGATATTCGAGCATAGCAATCAGGGGGTTAGCAGTAACTCCCACATTCTCACGTTCTTCTTGCACCCCACTCCCCTCATTTCTGTCACTCCCACATCTTTGAGTGCTCTCTGGATTTGCATCAGCGGCTCGCAATGGCAGATCCATTCGGGATCATTGGAGTCATCGGCGTTGCAGGTCAAATCATCAAAGCGGGGGTTAAGCTAGGAATTGATTGGAAAGAAGCGCCGAGCGATGTACGAAGCTTTTTGGGAGAGCTGGAGACGCTGAAAACAGTCCTTTCTGAGACCCACACCAACATCATCTTGAATCAGGAGTTCAAAGACGCTTTCGAAGGGCGGCAGTCCACAGTACTTTCGTACCTTGCGGACGGAAACTCATCCTCTGACCCCAGCACCCCGGGACTCATCTCTGTTTGCCGGATTGAGCTCGAAGATCTCTTTACTAAGCTGCAGAAGCAGAGCGAAGGGCACCGTCTTGGCTGGGATAGACTGAAGGGGGCTTTCAGGAGCGAACGAACCCACGCCGCTGTTGACGACCTTCAACGAAGATGTCGGTTACTCAATAGCATGACAGCCATTGATAACGCTACGTTGACAGCAACAACTTTGGCGCAAGTCAAAAACGCAAGGAATGAGATGCGGCAGCAGCTCCAAGACGAAAACAAAGCCATGATTCTAGATTGGCTGACGCCAATGAATTTCGCAGCACAACAAAGCGACAACATTGAAATAAGATATGCTGGCACCGGACAGTGGCTCCTTGACTGCCCCGAATTCCAGACGTGGATCCAAACTGAGAACAGCACTCTGTTTTGCCCCGGCTTGCCAGGCGCTGGCAAAACGATCATTGCGTCGGTCGTTGTTGAGTACTTGCACAAGCGGTTTTCCACTGATCCAACAATAGGAGTGGCGTATGTCTTCTGCAATTTTCGACGGCAACACGAACAGACTATCCGAGACATTTTAGCCAGTCTGCTCAAACAGTTATGTCATGCTCTTCCAACCATACCGGGTGAAGTACAGCATATTTACAAAATCCAAACAAGAATCAACACACGACCGTCAAAGATGGAGTTAGTCAATTTGATACAAACAGTAGCATCACTATTCTCCAAAACGTTCATCCTCATTGATGCTCTCGATGAGCACCAAGCCCCCGAGGGCCTCCTAGAGACAATCTCGGGAATACAAAAACTCTCGAATATGAGTCTTTATGCCACTTCTAGGTTCATTCCAAGTATCACTCAGCGATTTCGAGACGACCAAAGGCTCGAAACTAGAGCTTCGGATGGAGATGTAGCTGATTACTTGAACGGAAATATGGGACAGTTACCCACTTTTGTGAAGAGGAACACAGATCTTCAAACACAGATCAGATCGAAGATCGTGACGAGTGTGGACGGCATGTAAGTTAAAACTCAGCATAAATTAACCTAATTCAACTGACGTAGAAAAGGTTTCTTCTTGCAAAGCTACATCTCCAGTCATTGACTGGCAAAAGATCACCAAAAGCCGTCAAAACCGCTTTGGAAACACTCGCCACTGGCTCCAGCTCTTATGATACTGCTTACGATGAAGCCTTCGAACGAATTGAAGGTCAACTAGAAGACCAATCAGCACTTGCCAAGGATGCATTATCGTGGATTGTTTGCTCGAAAAGGCCGCTTCAGATCGTTGAGTTACAAGAAGCTCTTGCAGTGGAGCAAGGTATGACCGAGCTCGACGCGGAGAACCGGCCTGAAATCGAAGATGTCATCTCGGCCTGCGCTGGGTTGCTCACAATCGACGAATATAGTCGTGTAGTGCGGCTTGTGCATTACACTACCCAGGAGTACTTCCAGCGGAACAAAACAAACCGACTTCCTGGAGCAGAAGCTCTGGTAGCAGCTGCTTGTGTATCATATCTCAGCTTCGATGTTTTCAATGCGGGTCAGTGCAAATATCGGAATGAACTAAGAGATCGCATCCAGGATCATCCACTTTACCACTACGCTTCAGTGAATTGGGGATACCACGTTCGGGAATCACACCACGTCCAGGAAGAGGTCATGTGTTTTTTGGAGGACCAGGAAAGACTGGGCGCCTCAGCACAGGTGCTTTTTGGCCCAAATCCCCGGTATTTTTATGAAGCCAGTCGTGTGACTAATAATGTCGCGCGGTGTCCAATCATCGAAACGTCTGGCTTACACGTTGCTGCTCACTTTGGACTTAGGGAGGTCTTCAGTCTTGTCTCGAACGGAAATCGCTCGGAACAAACACATTCTCTACAGGGATCATCAACCCGCACTTGCCACTGGAGGAAGCTCGAGATCAATGCACAGAACCCTGAGGGCGAGACCCCTCTTTTTGTGGCAGTATCAAAGAACTTTGTAGATCTGACAAGAGATCTTCTGGAATCTCATGGCGCAGAGGTATCCAAGTACACTCATGGGCAAACCCTTTTGTCCGTTGCTGTCCAAATGGGACACTACGACATAGTTCGATATTTTGTCTGTTGCCAATTAGGTCAATTTGATATCAACGAGCCGGACATGCATGGATCCACTCCATTGCTTTACGCAATCGCCAAAAATAACCAGGATATCATAAATCTTTTACTCGACGTTGATGGAGTTGCATACAACCAAAGAGGCCCGGGTGGGAAAACACCCTTATTATTGGCCGTAGGCTTGGGACAAGACTTTACTGTCAGGAATCTTCTCGAAAGAGACGAAGTGGAGGTAGACTCGAAGGACAACGAAGGCCGAACCCCGCTATCACATGCGGCCAGCAACGGAGATTTGAGTATACTTGGTCGTCTTCTCGAGACAGGCAAAGGGGAAGCCGACTCGAGAGATGATGCTGGCAGAAGTCCGTTATCATACGCAGCCGGAAAGGGCGATTTGGAAATAGTCAGATGTCTTCTTCGAACAGGAAAGGTCGATGCAGATTCCCGAGACAGAGACGGCCGGACACCACTATTTTATGCAGCCATGGCTTCCAACAAAGAGGCCGTTCGCTACTTTCTTGAAACCAAGAGAGTCGACGTAAACACATTGGACGTCTTTCACCAATCGATCTTGCTTGGAATGTGGTCTTCCTACAGGCTCTGGGAAGGTCCGCAGTTTCGGACTGCGGAAACACATGCAGCGTTGATGGACACGACTGAACTGCTGATCGAACTTGGAGGGGCTGATCCAAATGTGCGCGACAATCGAGGGCGAACATTGTTGTGGAAGGCTCTTTTCCACGGCCATGTGGAACTGGCAGAATACCTCGTAAAGACCGGTAGAATTGATGGACCGTCGAATTTCAAGGACATTGCCGGCCGCACTCCGATGGATGTTTTCGCTAACGAACTAGACAATGAAGGGCTTGCAATGAAGTCCGCTCTCGTGGAAATTTGTGATGGACTGGAAAGATTGAGAGTGAAGAGCAACGACTGAGCTCAAGCTTCAGAAGAACAGGTAGCTGAGTTGTCGTTGTGAATGCTTCATACTTGATGAAGGCGGCACGTACCTATGCTGCGCAAAGAAGGATTGTGCTGGTAAGGAAGTTGGGGGTTTGAGGCCAAAAGGAGATGATCCAAGTCCCTGAACTCGACTGGCTAGTCATTTAATAGAGGCTATGGCAAGACCTGGCCGTTAGCCGTGAGTCAATATAGCCAGACAGCACAGCCAAGTTGAAGGTTAGCTGATTCCCTCCAGAGACCACCTTACTACAGGGTCTATACGCTGCCTCAGTACAGTACCTTAGTCGTACCCCAGTAAGTAGTGGCTCATTACCCGTCCCTTCTTTTCCCACTATCCGGGAGGAACACAACTTGTTGGCAAACTACTAGCCGAGCGAAGGGGAGGGATAGGGTCAGTGATTTCTAAGGAAAAACGATAACAATGATTCAACACTAGATACTAAGGTAGCTAAGGAAAGTTATAAATGTAGATGACATCAAAACTCCACAATGCCTGACCCAATGATTTCCAATCTCCACTGTATCTCCTCCTCTCAACCTCAGCTGTAATCCCTCCAAGACCTTTCTCTCCAGGTTTCGCTGAATTGTTTCTCCCGGTGTTGTCCCTGCCAGTTCCCATAGCGTTCCTACACGAAGTACAGATAAAACTTGTTACAACTCACTCATAACAACTAGTAATAGTAAGGAGATTGCAGAATTGTGGTTCTGATCGCCCTTGTGTCCCGTGTGACCACCATGTTCCTGTGTAAGTCCTTCCATCAAGTCTTATCCCATGCTCTTGACTCATACACGCACAATCCATACCCTCATAAAAGCGCCCCATTATATCTTTGACGATATCTCCGAAAAACACTAACAATCTAATAAAACACCACTCACTCGTCTTCATGTCTTCGTAGTATGATGATGCCCATAACTCTTTCTCCCGTCTCTCTTGTATCTCTCCAAATGTTGTTGCTCAGTCTCTAGTTACTCCAGTCGAATCCGACGCAAAGCTTGCTCTTCTTGCACACAGCCTTGGTGAGAGTCTGGATGCTACCACTGCTCAGCAACTCGAGGACCTGCATGTTGGCCTCGAACTCGCGAGTGATAAAGTTACGGATCTCGATGGCGACAAGCGAGTCAAGCGGGTAATGCGACAAGCTGCGGGTGACGTCGAGGTCTTCAATCTCCATCATCAGGACGGCGGCAATCTTCTCGACCAAACCGCGGCAGACAACCTCCATGGCCTCTGTCTCGCTGCGCGACGCCTTGAGGGCGGCGTTGAGTGAGACGGCACCGTTGGCACCGGCCTCGGCAGCAGCAAGCTCCTCGGCGGCCAGGCGGAGAGCCTTGAACTTGGCATCGGGAGTCCAGAAGGGCTGGATGCTGGGCGTGATACGCATACCAGTGATGACGTGGTGGTTGCAGACGGAAGTCTTGTTCGAAATGGATGCGCCGATGAGAGCAAGCACCTCGGCCTCGCAAATGCTGTCGGATCCCAAGTTCTTGGCGACCTCAGCAGCACGCTCGGCACTACCATCGGCCAGGTAACCGGCATCAGAGACAGCGGTCAAGTCGAGAGAGGTAGCGGGCAGACCAAGGGCAAGACGGTGCTGGACGAAGGCGTTGAGGAAGCAGTTGGCGGCGGCATAAGCGGCTTGACCACGGTTACCGACGGCTCCGGCAGCGGAAGAGATGGCAATGAAGAAGTCAAGCTCAGTCTGGCGCTCCTGGAGGGCATTGTGGAAGTTCCATGCACCCTGGACCTTGGACTCGGTGACCGAGGTGTAGTCGTTGTAGGTCATTTGCTCGAACAGAACATCCTAGACTAATGTTAGTACAAAGAAGGTGAGGTGAATAAGATGGGTAACATACACGAAGGACCATAGCACCGTGGATGACACCACGGACGGGAGGAAGACCCTTGAGGCCAGTGTTGAACAACTGCTCAACGCTAGACTTGTCGGCGACATTGCAAGGGCGAACGGTGATGTGAGCACCATCGTTAGCAGCCTCGTCGATGAGCTCCTTAACCTTGCCAGTGGCAGAACCACTGCGGGACAGGAGAACAAGGTTCCTGGCGCCGTGGGCGACCATCCACCTGGACATACTGCGGCCGAGACCACCAGTACCACCGATGAGGAGGTAGGTAGCATCATGCTTCAGAAGGGCCTTGGCAGCCTTGGAAGGAGTAGCCATGACGACATCCTCAGCATGAGGAACAACAACCAACTTGCCCGGGCCTTGGGTGGTTTGCAGCGTCTTGAAGGCTGTCTCCATGCAGGACACGGGGAAGACGGTGGCAGGGTCGATGGGTCGGAGCTGGTCGTCGGCAAGAAGCTTGGAGACATCAGCGACGAGTCTCTCCATAATCTTGGGCCTCTCGGCGGCAAGGCCGAAGATGTCGACACTGAGGAAGGAGGCGTTGCTGTCAGACTGGCCCATGTCGAGGCGGGTGGCGCGAGAGCCATCCTTTCTGCGAACATCAACGAGGCAACCGAAGCGGCTGAGGCAAGCCCAGCTCTCTCTCAGGGCATCGGCGCCGGGAAGGGTGTTGAGAACAACGTCAACACCCTCATCGTTGGTCGCGCGTCTAACGGCGGCTCTCCAGGTGGTGTTGCGGCTGTAGAAGATGTGGTCCTCAGGAACATTGTAGTGCTGCATGAGAAGCTTCTTCTTGGCGGCGGTGCTGACAGTGACGAAAATCTCAGCACCGATCATCTTTGCGAGGCAGACTGAAGCCTGGCCAATACCACCACCGGCAGAGTGAACCAGGATGCGCTGGCCCTCACGGAGGCGGGCTTGCTCGACCAAGCTGTAATAGGCAGTGCAGTAAGCCAAGGGAAGAGTTGAGGCATCCTCGAAGGACATGTTGGATGGCATGGCCATGACATTAGCAGCGGTGGTGCGAGTGCGGGTAGCATAGGCACCGTGGCTGATGGTGAGGGCGGCAATGCGGTCGCCGGCCTTGTGGGCCCTGACAGCAGAGCCGACTCTGGTGACGATACCGGAAGCCTCGACACCAAGAGCGTGCTTGTCAGCCTCAGGGATCTGGCCCTTGGCGATCATGACATCGCGAAGGTTCATGCCGACGGCCTTAACGTCGAACTCAATCTCGTTCTCTCCAAGAGGCTGCGTGGCAGCAATGTCGTCAACGAAGTGCACCGTCTCAATGGCACCGGGAGTGGAGAACTCCATCTTGAGGCATCGTTTGTCCTTGCCGAAAGGCTGCATCTCAACAACGCTAGGGTTGGTCTCGCGGTGGACGAACTCGTTCATGTCCTCATCGTGAACAATGCGGGGAGTGGAGAGCTTGCCGCATCGCTCCATGAACTCAAGCTCGCTGGTGGACGAGGCACTAGCACCGAAAGCGAGCTTGAAGATCTCAAAGATGACTGCAGCGGAATCGTCCTCGTCGAGCTGGTTGTTGTCGTCCAGGTCAAGGGTGGCGAAGGGCAGGACAGTCTCAGAGCGAACGGTTCTGCTAAGACCGATGATCATGTTGGACTCAGGCGAGGTAGCCTTGTCGTATGCACCACGGACAACCCACAAACAGCCCTGGACACCGGCAAGCATGCCACGAACTTCGGCAAACTGCTCCTTAGTAGGGTTGGCAAGGAAAGGTTGCTCAATCTCAGTGAGGACGACGGTAAGCTTGCCCTCAGTATTGACTTCGTGCATGGTACCCATCTCAGGCAGTCTGGAGGTTGCACTGGCCAGAGCAATCGCGAGGCCGTTGGCCAACATCTGCTGAGAGTTGGAGTCGCCGTGAATGATGGCGACGTCAACATCGGGCAAAGGAGCATCAACCTTGACACCGGAGGCACCGTTGATCTTGGTCTTGGACTTGCCAGACAGCGACTTCAGAGTTCCAATCTCCTCCCACTCAAGCTTGTAGCAAAGCTCGCGAGCAGGGTTGCTAGCCAGCTCAGTCTCTCCGTCAATGATGGGAGAAACGGTGAGTTCATCAATCTCAATGACCAAGTCGTTGGCTTCTGAGGTGGCGAAGACAGAGACCTTGGTAGAGCGGGCCTCGGCGGGGAAATCAGCCTTGCAGTATGCCTTGAGGGTGCTGCCAACCTCCTTAGTAAGGGCGGTGATGTCGCGAGAGATGGACATGCGACCGATGGAAGAGGGGAGGTAGACCGTGTTGATGTCAGTGCGGCCGGCGCCAAGGATGGGCCAGTACATCTCAATGACAGACTCCAAGAAGGTAGGGTGGAGGACAGAGCTGGTCTGGTAGTGGTTGGGCATGTCGGCCGCAACATCGAAGGATGAAATGGTACCAGTGGAGTACTTGTTCGACGCCTTGCAGTCCTTGATGCACTGGAAGGAAGGTCCGTAGCCGACACCAAGCTCAGTCAGGCGCTCGTACATGTCGTTCTCCGCAACGGCAACAGCCTCAGGGCCCTCACTGGCCTTCATGGTAGCCTCAGCCCCGCGAAGAGCAGCGAGCTTTTGCTCCTTGCCATCGACCTCATTAGTCTCAGTGCCATGGAGAGCGATGAGACCAACACAGTGCTCTGTCCAGCCACTGCCGTGAGACCAAGAGCAAATGCGGAACTCCTTCCAAGTCTCGGATGCAGTCAGATTGGTCTCCTGGTGGGGGCGCAGGTTGATAGTCATCTCAACATCAGCATCCTGCAGAGCTAATGGCTTGACGACGGAGACGTCTCTCAGCTCGTACTTCTCGAATGAAATCTCCTTGCGCTGAGCCCACTGAGCGGAAGCCTCCAAAGCCATGCCGATGAAGGCAGAGATGGGGAAGATTGTCACCGACTGGATCGCGTGGTGGCGAAGCCATGGAAGGTCATCTAAGTGGACAATGTTTCTCCATGTCGGCTCGAGATCGCTGGAGTAGATGGCCTCGAGACCGATCAAGTCATTTCTGGGCGACTTGCGATACTTGTGCATCTGAGTCATGCGAGACTCTTGCCAGTACTTGTTCTGGTAGTTCCAGGCATAGCGGGGAAGATCAGTCAACAGTGACGG